TACCTATAAAAAAGGGGAGAATTTATAGTAAATGCAATTTTGACAGATTTAGAAGAGACTGCCAAAAAATCAATTGGGAGCAGATTAAGTGCTCATCTGACCCTCTAAATGAGTTTAACAAACAATTGGTTAAACTGTTTGAAGAAAGTTTTCCGTTAAAACCAATAAAGCAAAAAAGAAAAAAGTCATGGGTAACAAAGGGAATTAAAACCTCTTCAAAAAACCTTAGATTTTTGCACACACTGAGAAAATATAATCCTTCAGAATTTGTAATTAGTTACTTCAATAAATATAGATCAATTTACCGTAAAGTTATAAAAAAATGCCAAAAAAAATCACTATAATGTTAGAATTAGTAATGCGAAAAAGAAATCAAAAGAAATTTGGAATATAGTGAATGATCTAAGGGGAAGTCACGGAAAGGGTGATTATCAGAACGACATAGATTCAGATAGTTTTAATAACTTCTATTGTTCAATAGCCGAAAAGTTGAGGAAGGATATATGTTCTGATACTAATCCTATGGTTTATCTAGGGAATATATCTGTAATTGATTCATTTTGTCTTTACCATACTGACATAAATGAAATCAAAAACATATTCAAATCAATAAAAAATAAGCACTCAGCAGGTATTGATGGCATTTCATTGAGGATATTCATTAACCTTCCGGACTCTGTACTTGAGGAGCTTGCTACAATTATAAATATTTCTTTCGACAGGGGAATTTTTCCGGATAGCTTGGGCACAGCGTTGGTAATGCCTCTTTTTAAGGGTGGAAACTCTAACGATCCCTCTTGTTTTCGACCCATCTCAATGCTTCCTACACTTTCAAAAATTGTAGAGAAAATTGTTAAGGTTAGAATGTCTTCTTTTTTAGAAAGGCATAACCTGTTAAATAAAAACCAATTTGGTTTTCAGAGTGAGAAGAGCACTAGTGATGCAATCTTTAATTTTCTTGAGGAACTTTATCTCGGTCTGAATGGAAGAGAAATGGTAGCGGCAGTGTTCTGCGATTTTTCCAAAGCATTTGATTGCGTGGATCGCGGGATACTGTTGCAAAAGCTGTATCGTTATGGATTTAGGGGCAGTGCTTTGACTTGGCTTGGGTCCTACCTGGCAAATAGGCGACAGGTGGTTAGTGGGCGTCACGGTACATCGACTGTACGGACCATTGATTCTGGGGTTCCACAGGGTTCAGTGCTTGGCCCATTATTGTTTCTCATTTACATCAATGACCTAGCTTCCATCAATATAAATGGAGCCTTTACATTATTTGCTGATGATACCACGATACTGTGGCGTGGAACAAGCGATGATACTTTGGAAGAAACAATAAATAGAGACATACAAATTATAAAGAAATGGTGTGACGCAAACAGCATGACTTTTAACATAAGCAAAACCAATCTTATATCATTTAGGGGAAACGCTCCAAGTATCTCACTGAATGGTGGAGCTGTGGAAAGTACAGACTGTGCAAAGTTTTTGGGAGTTTTTATTGATTGCAAGTTAAAGTTTGATATGCATATTATGATGTTAAGGAAAAGGTTGGCCTCTGCTTGTTATGCTGTTAGAATTGTACATGGTGAACTTGGAGCCAAGATAGCAAGAGATGTATATTTCTCACTGATAGAGTCTCATTTGAGATATGGCATACAGTTTTGGGGCTTTGCCAGCCGGCATCTTATTCAGTCTGTTTTTGTCTTGCAGAAGCGGGCTGTGAGATATTTGAGTGGTGCTGGTCACAGAGATCACTGTAGACCGCTGTTTATTGGGGAGGGGATTCTAACATTGGCTTGTATTTTTATCCTTAGTACAGTAGAGTTGGTTCGTAAAAAATGCAGGGGATCTGATGTCGCCTCAGCAAGTGCTTACGCGACAAGATATAGCAGTGAAAATCTGAGTCTCTGCATTCCTAAAAGTACCCTTACTAAACATTCAATTATATATGAAGGTAGAAAAATGTACAATCGCTTGCCGCTGGAAATCAAGAATCTAGAAAGTGACAAAAAGTTTGGCCAATTAGTAAAGAGGATGTTATTGAAAAAAGCTTATTATTGCCTTGACGAGTTTTATGCGGATGATTTATGTTTGTGAAGTAATGTTTGTTTTTTTTTCTATTTTAAGCTTTTCAAATTGTATTTATATTTTATTTTTATAATTTTAGCTGTTTTTGATGTTTTTTTTTTTTCTATTTGTTTTTCTATGACCACTGAGTTTATACTGTTTTATATGTTTTTATTTTCAGCTTTGTACATGAGGGTATTTAAACTCTTTATATAATAAAGCATTTTTTGATTTGATTTGATTCAGGTAGGTTAAAATCACCGCAGATAATCATACTATTCCAACCGGAGACACCTACAGCCTTTTCCAGGGATGTACAATAATCATCAAGTATATAATTCTAGTGAAGAGCTAGATGGAAAATATACATTACCGAACAGTAGCTTACAGTTTTTGAAATACATCAACACAAATAGATGTTCAACATTATTGATAGATGTACTTATCTGCTTTGTTGTAATGGATTTACAACAGCCACAAGCGCACCACCTGCGCCTTTATGCTGACCAGAATCTCCTGAACGGTCACAACGAAACACTGTATTATTGCGGAACCCCAGTTCACCATCCAAGATATCCTGATGAAGCCATGTCTCCGAAAACATTATCACCTCAAAGTCTACGAGAGCTATTGATTGTGAGAGCTTATGAATCTTCGACCTCAAACCCCTGACGTTCTGGTAATACCAATAGGTAATACACATTCACTGATTGAAGCTTTGCTCTAAGAACTCTAATATTCTGGTAATGAAACCGCATCGAACCATCCAGTTGTTTTTCTATCTGTGAGATGTTCGGCCTTGATAGCCCCTGTGAAAATTTCTTGAGCTTTGGCCCGAAAACAAATGACTCAACTATGACATCTAACGCCCATTTATTGCTACTCAAAATCATTGATTCTTGCTCAGTTGGGACAGCTAATTTAAAACAACTAATATGATCTTGCTGAGATTTTAGTTTCTCACAGCCCATGGTTGACAGACCCACATCAGCCATATGAGACTTCGGAGCACAGCTTCGGAGAGTCAACCAGTGCAATCAGAACTGAGGTTTCCAACATAATTAGCTTCGTTCGCAGTAAAGCTACATCCTCAATCAATCTGGTAGCGAAGTGGCACTCTGGCACGCGTGCTGGAAAATTTATACCCATCCTCAATGCTGTCAATTTTCAGTCTGCTGTGCGTGTAGTACGGTCACATACCGTGCATTCGGTATTTTGATCAGAGTTCTTTGAGCAAGAATTTACCGTTCGTTTATTCAAAAAGTGTACTCGGTGCAGGCTCATTCACGTTCGTTTGATAAAATTTTGAGCCCTCTGATCAATGAACTATAAACTACACGTACCTGGAATGGCCCGCAGATCTATAAATTTGCGGCAGATTGAGATGGAGAATGTGGGGTACACACATCTCTATTTATCTTATTGGCGAATCATGGAAATCTTTCCTTGTCTAAAAAATATTTTATTCGAGAAAGGAATCCCCCACTATGTAAAGTCTGTTTTTTTTTTAAAGATAATTCCCCAAGTCAAAAATTTAGTAACTATGTTGGCAACACAAGCCTTTTCTACATGAAAAATTTGAAGTATTGACAATTTTACATTGTATTGCCAACATAATGTCAGTTTGACTTTTATCTTTAAAAAAAAACAGATTTTAGCTTGTTTGGACGCACTAAGCGAGATGACAAATGCCATATCCGACAACGGTCGGTGCCATTCCAGATACGTGTAGTTTATAGTTCATTGCCTGTGATACAGCGTTTAACTGCTCTGTGCGCTCGCTGGTCACGTGATTACGGCTCCGCTGCTCCGCTCTGCTCTTTGAGCAAAATACCGAACGCAAGGATAACCTAAATTAATCTTTTAACGTACTGCACATGACATAAGTCGGCACGCATCGAAAAAGCTGGCAGCTTGCAACCTTCACTTTGGAGTCGACGTGCATGCCAGCACGGAATTGAATTGAGGCTGCCAACGTTAAACAACATTTTCCTAGCTTGCGTGCCGAAGGGCCACTTCGCTACTAAATTGATTGAGGATGAGCCTTTAGGGTTCAGAACCAGTTCTGAACGCTAAGGCATCAATCACAATAGAAATTGGCAATAAGTGACAGTCTAACAAAAAAAAAAAATATATATTTATCGTGATTGCTTTCTTAGCGTTCAGAATTGTTTCTGAACCCTTACTGCGAACGAAGCTATTTACTGGCGATTGAAGGAAATGACTAGCCATAGTGACTAGCGAGCCGTCAGGCGAGCTTCTCACCTTCAAGTTTGGTCACCTAGGTTAGCCTATTATAAGCTACTACGTTTCCTGTACTATAAGAGAAACATCCCAACCTTCTATTAACCATATCACCGCACCAACTACGGTCAAAATTCCTTTGTCTCCAGATACGTGTCTCTCGCAAACCAACATCCGCTTCTTGATTTTTTCTGTCCACTTCAACCAAGAGAGCACCTGTCACAGTTGAACCTTGCTAGATTGTAACTTATCTGTTAACAGTGTTGCCCAGCTTGATTCTTAATTTTTGAAACTTTTTATAACAATAGTTTACCAACTTACATACATACACTCATGTACTTTGGAATATTATTGTTATCCTTTCTTTTTATTTCTTGCATGCACATGGTAGATTAAGTTTGATTTATAATTTTATCATTGGTAAAAAATGGCACTGCCGTCAATAAATAAATAAATAGATAGACACTAAAATAAAACTTAAAAACGAATTCATAAATAAAGCGCAATCTTATATAAATACCTCGGTTTAACTGTTGATGACGATCTTTCATTTGAACCGCATCTAGAGAAACTACATGAAAAACTTGCAAGTGCTTGTGGAGCAAAAAATCTACAAATTATCTTCCGAAGCTTAATAAAACATCTGTCAAACAAATCACAATTACAATATGTATATGTGTATATCGGCAGCTGCATACGTGACAGCTAGACAAAAGTTGCAACGACTTCAGAATCGTGTCATTAAATACCTACATAAACTTCCACAACTCTATCATACAAGAGACTTGTACAAAAACTTCATATATCTGAGGTGGACCAAATAATTCAATTGGAAGAATGTAAATTGATACAAAAAATATTGCACAAACAAATTAAAACAAAAATTGAACCAAAAAGAGACTCCGATTTACATAATCACATGACAAGATCCTGTGGTCAAACGCATGTTCCAAAATTGACCAAAATCAAGAACCAATATAGGCTTGAGCAGCATTATCAGTCGCCAGGGGACATTTTAGGGGTAACTAGGCCTATGTCTTTTGCTGGAGCGGTGAGACTGTATCTTCTTTCTGCAAATGGGTAACATTGTAAAAAAAAATTGTTGTGAATACGTATATAAAAAATTTATTGTTGTTGAATATTTGCTTAAAAAATATTTTGTCTAATTTGTAATACTGGATTGCTAATATCCACAATCGACAATATACAACATAACTAAGAAATTTTTATTGTATAAAAAATTAAATTTGGGACTTGTTACCAGTCTATGTACTGTTTTAAGTTCAAAAATTAAGATATTGTTCAAAGTGAAGCGCTGATTGGCCATTGCTTATATGGTACCTCATGCCCACACCATTTAGGCACAATGTAGTTCAAAGAATTCATAACTATCTTATCCCAAGCATTTATTTGTAAACCAACAAAATAAATAAGTATATTCAAAATAGAACAAGAAGTAGATACGGATACATACATTTAAAAATCTTATCATAAGTACTTATCTGATAAATAAATTATTAGTTTAATTTGGTATACTTAGTCAAAATTCTCGATATTTTTATATCAATCTTCTCATTTTCCTGAAATTGAAAAATTAAAATAGTCAAAAAAAAAAACAAATCCTCTTACGTTTTCAGTGAGGCATCTTTTAATATTCCGGGACGTGCTGCTCTTTTAGGTCTCCCTTCTCTATAAAATGTAATTTAGACAAAAAAAAAAACAAATATGTAGTTGGATATACTTACCCATAGTCACTTTGCACGGATGCAGTCGAACTTCTCCTTGGACTCGCTTCTGGAATAAAATTTGAGAGTTTCACTTGCAATTCTTTAGTTATTTTAGAAGTTTTTTGACATTTCTGGGTCTCTTTCAAAGTTTCACTTTTCTTGGGTCGTTTTGATGGTACACTTTTCTTTGCTTTTTTTTTGGGTTCAGATTTTTTGATTTTAGTAACAACTTGATTATTCTCTTTCACATTGTCTTCTTCTTGACATAACAATAATTCTGAAATTCGAATATCGTCTCTCTCCAACAATACCCTGGGACTCATGGAAATGTCAGCCTCACTAAAAAATAGCAATTTTAAGTATTTTTCAGAATGACTTCTAGAGTATATTCTCAATTTGTACCTTGCCCCCCTACGTCTTCTATTAACACCAGGTGCTGTATTTCTTGAACTCCTAGGAGATTCTTGTACGATGACTTGGAGTTCTTTCTTTGTGTTAGGTGAAGACCTTGTACTTTTTGATCTATGTATGTGCAAAGTTAGGGAAATGTATTAGGTACACTGTACAATAAAAAAAGCAACTTACTCTTGTAAAATTTCAAGTTGTGAACCATCATTATTCTTGTCACCAATATCGCCTATGCAGGACATAAAGGGTGTTGGTATGCCAGCTAATGATGGAGTAGGTAAGTTGAGAAATGAATTGGGTGTCTAGGAAAAAAATATTATAGTTTTATGAATTTGAGTACAATATTATAGGCTTACCATGCGTTCGTTCCCACACAAAGTAGAATTTGCTGTGCTACTCGATCCAGCTGTTCGTTTATGCCGTGTCGATACTTTGGACTTTGCCTAGAAAATTTGTTTGTTTAGAGATTCAGAAAACCCCTTATAAAATTAGTATCACAAGTATGGGTGCAAGGGACGAAAGCCGATAACCGTACCAACGGAAAATTGAGGAAAAGAATTTTTCAGTTTATCCCCTATCAATCGCACTGGCCTGCATGATAGGAAAGGCTAAAACCCTCAAACCTAAACCAAAATGGAAAATAGAAATCATAAATGAACCCCAGTCCCGGCAGATCACAATTATCCCACCAAGGTAGCGGTTGGAAAAGGCAGCGATTGGAGGGTGCTATGAATCCCCGGGTAAGATAAGGCTATCACGGAAGAGTAAAACTGCATATTGCGACATATTATACAAGAACCCCTTCACCTACGGAGAAAGTATTGGAACTAGAAGAACTTGGCATGTAATCGGACTAAGCATAATCCGGAAGAGAGCAGAAAAACCAATCTTACTGAAGTCAGCAAATATGAATTACCACAAGTGTGAAGAAAACAGCTCTGTAGGTACACAATATACTTGAGATCAGCAGCGTAAGCCCCAGAGTTTGTTTTGTAATATTAAAATTAAATGAAAAATACAATGTCAAGATTATCCAAGCCTATGCGCCCACATCCCAAAGTCCGGACAAAGATATTGAAGAGTTCTACGAGGAACTTACTCAAATAAGCTAAGTCCTCCAGCGTACTTTACCATGTTAGTTGGAGACTTCAATGCCAAACTTGGAAAGAAACGAAAACACCACTGGGATGCATGCCATGGGGTTGGAGAAAGGAACGAACGAGGAAATCTCCAGCTACTGTTTCTGTTTCACCATCAACTGACTACTGACTGAATGAATAGATGAATACATTCTTCAAAAAGGCGGACCATCGAAAGTGGACATGGACCAGTCCGGATGGTATGCGTAAAAACGAGATTGATTTTTTTATTACAGACAAAAAACGCATAGTCACAGATGTAACGGTACTAAATAGCTTGTCAGTAGGGAGTGACCACAGAATGGTGAGAGCGACGGTGTCATTAAACTTAAGAGCCGAACGTAGAAAACTCACAATAGATGAAAATCTGAAAGACCCTGATTCAATGAACATTGAAGATCTAAATAGAAATATTGCGGATTCAATCAGCATAGTCCAAAGTAAACATTGCTTGAACATTTAGAAAAAGAAGAAAAACTGCCTTGCAAAACTACAGACCGATTAGTTTGCTCACACATATATATAAACTATTGACCAAAATCATTACTGCACGTCTTACTAATAAATTAGAATCATATCAGCCAAGAGAACAAGCGGGCTCTTGGGCTGGTTACGGAACTAAGGATCACCTTCAGGTCATAAAGTAATTCATAGAAAAAAAGTGTAGAATATAACAAATCCTTGGTGCTAACGTTTGCGGACTATGAAAAGGCGTTCGATTCCGTAAACCACCATGTATTGTTCAAAGCTCTTGCCACCTGTCATATAGACCACAAACCGCGTGTGGCTAAATTCAGCTGGTGTAGGCACCGTGGTGGAATGGTAGAACAAGCACTGTTGTTAAATTAAACAGGGTTTGACAAGCGATAGTTTGGCATTGGCATTAGTGAATTTTAATCACCGCATCCGTGGCGGTGCACCATTTTGGTGAATTTAGCAACATGCGGTATGCGCTCTACTACGCTGAATTTCAATGAATGTAATTTTTCCTACAGCCGTGCGGAAAAATCGATTTTCCGCACTGATATGCGTGCGGAAAATGAGTTTTCCCGCACGGTGCGGTATAGTTATTTTCCTAACAAGTGCGCAAAGTGTTACTTTTCACGCAAACACGTATCCGAACTCCGCTGCGCGTCGTTCGTATAACTGTGTTTGCGTGCGGAAAAGACACTTTGCGCACGTGTTAGGAACAAAATTTTTCCTACGAGCTTCATATCAGGTAGGTAATAACAAAAATTAAAAAAAAAAACGATAATTTGTTTAATTATTTTTAATTAACTTGAAGGGAACCTATGCATTTATCAAAAAATTACATAACAAAAAAAATAACAGAAAATCCTCGTCAGAGCTGTTCAGCTTAAAGCGTTTAAATTTGATGAGAAAGTTTGTAGATTTTTGCATATAAATAGAGAACAAATCTGACAATGTGTCAAAGTTAATTTATATTTGGTGTTTGTATACATGTTGGCTGATTGTAGAAACAGAGGAAAAATTTGTCATCATGTGTCAAAGTCGACAGGTGCACTCGAGGGTGCACTTATTGTTGCTTGACAATTATAATAACTTTTCGGCACTCAGTGCGGATAAGGCCTGTATCCGCACTGAGTGCGGAAAAGTGTAACTTTGAGCCCGGAAATGCGTGCGGAAAAGTACTACTTTGCGCACGCTCGTAGGAAAAAACCTGACATATCAGTGCGGAAAAAGTTTTACCGCACTGATATGTCAAAAAAAAAAGAAAAATTTTACATTTTTTCGCCTGTAGGAAAAATATTGTACCTAACACTTGCGGAAAAAATTCATTTTCCGCACTTGTTAGATAAATAGCTATTACATGAAATACATGTTTCCTTCCTTATTCGGACACATACACAATGCCTCCTCTCTTTGGGAAAAAAGTAGTAGAATTTTGGAGTATAACAAGTATAGGATGTCAGCTTCATATTCCATTTTATTGCTAATGGATTCGATAGTATCGTCCATGTAATTTATATGGACGATACGATCGAATCGTGTGTTCGTGATCCGGGTCCAGGTTACTTCAAACTGCGCCAATCCCTCAAATAATTTGTCAGCTAACAATTTCTCAATACGATCACGTAAACGAAGTATGGAATAATTAAGTTCCTAGCCACCTTATTTATCAGATGGGCCTAACTTGTCCTATCTCTTAAGTCTCGTTTTCCAACAAGGACATGTGCAAATGGATATAAGCCCATGTATACTAAAAGATAGTGAGGAATTGATATTGATATTCTGGCTTGACAAAGATACTAATGCCGCCAACGATTATCCTACTTGACAAATGAATTAATCGACTGGAAATTACCGTTCTAGAAAGGTTCTCATGTCGGTTGGAACAGAGCTTATAAGCGAGAGAAAAACAAATCCAACAAGTACACATAATTTACTGACGGTTATATTAATGCACAAGCTTACAAATCAAAATAGCTTTCAGGAGGGGACAAATTGAGGGGATACAAACACTCTAATAACTTTTAAACAAGATGGCGCTTGAGTAGTACACACGAGTTTTTCCTGCTCCACATAATTTTATTTATTTCTCATAGATTATCAAGTATTTAATTTCTCCAAGTTTATTAAAAGTTACTCTAGTTGTTCCTGTGCTGTTTGGTGATATGAAAATCTTTGTTATCAGTCAGTGCTTCGAAATAAATAGTATTTATAAGCTATAACCATGGTATTTACTAAAAGTGACATGGAAGCCATCAAAACGTTGATTAAGTCAACTATTAGCGACCAATTACAGGATATCGCTGATAGAGTAGAACAAATAATCAGTGATACAATGGAGAAGAAGTTTAAGGAACAGAGTGATGCAATAAAGAAATTAAACAGCGAAATTGTTAGCCTTAAAAAGGAAAACATAGGCCTGAAATCTGCATTGGATGCGCACGAGCAAGCCAGCCGTAATTCAAATATCAGAATTTTTGGCATTCCACAAACAGATGGCGAGAACGTTCGCAGGCAAGCAATTGACTTAATTACCAATAAACTTAAGGTAAAGATAAATAATGCCGATATTAATCGGTGTCACAGAGTCAGAGCAAAAAATCCAGTCGAAGGTAAACCTCCCGCAATTCTCGTATCTTTTACCAGTGATGTGCTACGTACCGACATTCTCAAAAATAAAAAAACTTAAAGAATTCGGGTATTCAGATTAAGGAGGACCTTACAAAGTTTCGTTTAATGTTGCTCAATAGTGCTATTAGTAAACTCTCTCATCAAAATGTGTGGTGCCAAAATGGAAACATTTATATAAAATATCTAAATAATGTTCATAGGATTAACAGTGCGGAGGACATTCACAACCTTTTGGTGTAACATTTAAAAGGTAAACTCTATAATTAGAACTAAACCTTTTTTGGGAGAATGTTATCTTTATTTGTTTATATACTTTTTGTCTATGCAGAGATTAATATTTTACCTTAAATCTATTTGCAGTAGGAATCTCTCGGTTTTTTTGTGTATTGTAAGCTTTTACCTACTTCTCTTTTTTTGTTACTATTGCGTTGGTTTATCTCTTTATTGGGTTGGTTGAGGATATAATTGGCATCAGCGTGCTTACCGTAGTAGGCCCGTTTCAGCTCAGCTTCAACTCTATATTTTCCAATATTTATATTTATCAGTTTTATTTTATTTAAATCTTAGACTCTACTCATAAGCAATCTGGTATGCCATTATCAGCATGACAATGTTTTTATTTCCTGCTCAGTGACTATTTATTCTCAATGAGGATAGCTCATCTTAATATTAGATCGGTATTTACTGGATTTAATGATTTTTAATGTAGAATTTTCAATTGTTTGGGTAGGATCGGAAAAAAAAAACGCAGAAGTCTGGTTTTTAAAAAAGTCGACGTTTCGCAAAATTTATTTGCATCTTCAGGACACTGTAATGATAAAAAAAAAATAAAAGGGTTCTTTACAAACTTAGATGATGAACTACAAAAATACAAAAGACAAACAAAAAACAGAGCTATCCTCCGATTTCGCACTACATTACTTGAATAAATATTTCATAAAAACAGAAAGAAAATAGCAGAATTACATGAAACCTTCAAATAAATTATACGTATATAAAAATATATATAGCTATATTGTAAGTGGGGAGAGTAGCATCATAAAACATAGAAAAAATACTTATAGTTAACAAAGGGTAGTGAAATTGACTTGATTACTTACATTTAAATTAGACTTTCCTTGTCATTGTTGTTTAACAGATTCACATAGGTATAGAGGTTTCTCGAAAACATAGTTGATAAAAAATTAAAAAAACACACAATT